AAAAATTAAATTAATAATTATAAAGATATTAAGATTTAAAATTAAGTAATTAAATTATTTATTATATAATTTTTATATTAATTATAATTAAATTTTATATAATAAAATTTAAGAAATAATAATTAAAAAAAGTTATTAGTAAAAATTTTTTATAAAAGATATATAATAAAAATTTTTATATTTAATAAATTCTAATATCTAATAATTTAATTAAATAAGATAGAATTAAAATTTTATTTTAAAAAAAATAATCTATTAATATTTATCTAAAATTTAAATTCTTTTATACTAATTCATATTTATTAATTAATTCATATTAAAATTTTATTAAATAATTAATTAATAAATTAATAAATTTATAATATTTTATAAAAGATATTATAATAATCTTGAAAAATTATATGATTTAATATTATAATATATGACTTATTTATTATATTCATAATTACTTTTATTCTTGCATAATAAGAAGTTTTTTTTATTTTAAATAGTATCTAAATCACAAAAAAAATCATATATTATAAATATAAGTATGAAAATTCATATATCAGATATGAATTATAGATTTTAGAGTATTAAAGATAATATATTATATAATATTTAACTTTTAAACTATTCTAAATAATATTTACTTGGGTATATTAATTAATATTATGATTAATAGCATATTAATAATTTTAAATATAATATGAATACAAAGCAAGAAGAAATAATCAGTTCATCTTTAGAGGAGGATATATATATATATATTTAGTAAAATATTATATATTAAAAGACTAAAGTTATTTCTATTCTAATTTAAAATCTATTTTTAATATAAAGCTAACTAATTAACTTCAGAATCACATTAGTAAAGATCTATTCTAACTAAGTAATCAAGATTTTTAAAAAAATTGATTTTAATAAGTTATTATATAATTAAGCTTTAAATAAATTTGATTATTATATTATAAAGAGGATATCATTAAGTTTTTATAAAAATTCAATGTTTTATTATTGCATAATAAAGTATATACAAATATTTATATTATTTGAATAATTATTTAATTATATATGATCAAAAAACTAATTGCAATTTTTTTGTCATTTTTTTTGCACACCACTGTATATTATATAAAAGTAATTTGAATAATGAAATAGTGATTTGAAAAAAAATCTTTGATAAATTTTCAGTAATATTCAGCTTAAAATTTCGTATAATATGCCCGTTTAGAAATGACCATTTTGCGCCGGACGATGCAAGAACACAAAGGATCGAACATAAAATGTCTTGGCGGTGTCTTCGACCGCATTTTTTCTTAAAATACAGCAAGCAATCCTGTTATTTCGGTGAGAGCTTGAAAGTATAAAGAATCCGGTCAGTGATGGATAACTTTTGTAAATCTCATAAATCAAAAGCTTCCTCAATTAAGCAAAAATGTTTCACTTTGATTTTTTTCTTGAAACTATTCAATATTAAGGTTTGACTTTCAAGCGCATGTACAATGTCGATTCACCAAATTAGTAATCCCGTGTGATAATAAGCTCTTCGGAGAAATATTTCTTTTTTAAGTATACTAAAAGATAATAAATAAAACTCATTATTAACGAACATCCCGTACGAAAGCCACCCGCCTTCGTAAATAATAGTCAATAGGATAGCCGGATAATTTAGAATGGATAATATCTTGAATTTTCGTGATGTTGGCAAAGTAATTCAAGAAATTTGTAGGATGAATGGGGAGAAAACGTAAGTCCAATCAAAATAATGTATTTGATTTTATCAAAATTTCTTTTTGGTTAATCTTACGATTTTATAGTGAAAATATGATGAAATCCGGTGTATTATTTCGAGCAGCGAAACCAGGTAGAATGAAAATTGTACATTTTCTTTTTTTGACACCTCCTTGATATGGAAAAATTTCAAATAATGAAATAGATGACGCGTCCGACCACGATATCAAGCGTCTTTTAGAATACGATATTCATACTATTATCGATTTACGTTCTGGGTAAGTGTTTATATATTTTAAATTTTTCTTTAAATGGGCCATTTTGACGATAATCAAATTAGATATGAAAATACAAAATCGGATATATTAGCGTCTACGTTTCCTTTACAAGAGGTAAAAAATTAAATATAATTATGAGAAGATATTGATATTTAAAGTAATCACTTTTAAATATAAATTTCAGGTCAATAGTGTTGATTTTTCATCTCGTAAAACCATCAAAATAAATTTAAATGGAAGTCAATACGCAAAGTTGGTTTTATCTTACGCAAGTCGGGCTATTGCATTGTAAGCATTAAACTCATTTCGTGTAAAATTTTACTGAAATATATAATTTTATACTAATGCATTTGCATTTCTTAAGTCAAATCATTGGTTACTTTTTAATTTGCCAAAAACATTGGGCTGCGCAAACAATGGCTACTAAAGTTATAGGTCCTTTAGGTCTAGGGAAAATGTATTCCTCCTTTTTTGAGGGCTGTCATGATGAAGTTCGGAAGGTTAGTAAATTTAGTAAATTTCTTTTTATCTCTGTTTTTTTATTTTACTCATCCTTCATTTCATCAAATATGAATAATCTAAGATTTTTCAAATCATGACCGATAAACAAAATCTTCCTCTATTCGTACATTGTACATATGGAAAAGATCGTACAGGATTCATAATTGGTAATTATTTCGATGTCAGCTTTTCTATCTCGACGGATCATCTTAACACCATTCATATTTTATTTAATTTTTACCAGCACTAACCTTATCACTTCTCGGAATTCCTGATGAAGTTATAATTACCGAATATTCACAGTCGCATGAAAATCTTTTATCACTCTATCCGAAAATGATAAAAGACATGGGAAAAATAGGATTAGGTGAAGGATTCGCAATAGTAGATCCAAAAGCGATGCGTCAAATGTTGGAATTTTTGCATGAGCAATATGGAACTGCGTCTGATTATTTATCTTCGATTGGATTCGAATATAAAAGTCAACAAATTGTTATAAAGAATCTTTGTGAATGAAATAAATGTAAAAATTTGGGGGCTGAATAGGCTTATAGTATGGCATTAATGACTATTTAAATGCTTGACTCAATTTCGTTTCAAATTTTGTAGTGTAAAGAAGAACATCTCGTCTTGAGTTTACCTCTTGTAATAAAATACATTCGAAATAAAAAATATTGAATTAAAACAGAAATTAGGGTAATCTCGAAAAACAATACGCATTATATGAATTAGGAAATTTTTCGAAAGTGCGAATGCCAAAACGGAACGGGTATTTATCTATTATCTATATGTGTTACGGTTGTAGATCAGACTTCCGTTTTTACGCGTCAATTACAATATTACAATAGCATTTTTTATGGTATGATGTTTTTGTATCTCTCATAATTTTTTGTATGTACATCATATGTACAAATGGCCTGATTTTTTTTAATAATGTGTTTGTTGTGAACGCGTGATAAAGTACTATTGAAAGCCCCGCCAATTGCTAATTTTTTTGAATGCTTCCTTGCATTTTTACATTTAATTACGAACCGTATCTTTTGTTATTTGTGTGAGTTTAGAGAATTTTCGAGAAGAAAAAAGAATACATATTGTCGCCGTATTGTTTTTCTTAATTTTGAGATTGAGAAAGTATTGGAAAGTCAAATATTTAATTTTTTTCTTTCAAATTTCTAAATTCTTGCTGGCGTTAAACTAGAATGTCACACTTAGATAATGAAAGTTTGTTTGACAATGAAGAGCAAGCATACAAATCAGCATTCTTCATAGTTATTGTCCTCTATATATCTGTATTTTATCTTCGATATTTCCTCAACTCAAATCGTCTCCCCGGTCCAGTTCCCCTTCCGCTTGTTGGAAACTTACCACACTTAATACTTTTACTGTTCCGCGCAAAATTCAATCTATCCCAAGTGATACAAATTTTACATGCAAAACATGGGGACTTATTTCAGTTATATGTCCCATTCTCTTTCAAAGATCCGCTCATTGTAATTAGTAATGCTCAGATTGCATCCACGATTTTTGATAGCATAACGATCGCGAAAAGCAAGTTTAATCTTCGTACGGGTCCGATACAGGGAATAGATGAGCTGGATATATCGAAAAAAGGATTATTTTTGAATAGGGATACAGTGAGTTGGATCAGAAATAAAAAGTTTTTCATGGATGGTCTTGCATCGGTCAATTATGCTGAAGATTGTGTATTGTATGCGAGAACAGCATTTAGAGAATTGGAAAAAAGTTGGTTTGAAATCGGATTATTCAATGGGGAGCAAGACTTAGTTGCCAAAGTGAATTTAGTTGAATGGATATTTCGATGGACAACCGACATATTATTTCAAGTGACAGCGAGCGAAAACGTCAATTCAATTCAGACATACAAAAAGATAATACTTGAAAAAATGAACCACAAAGAAAAGAAATCGGATATCAATTCATCATTTAAGAAACTGACAAGCTCATTATTAGTCGCACCCGCCAGCAGCGTATCCGAGTCTAGGATAGTAATCGACACCGAAACATTTGTACGAAGCATACAAGACTTCTTTCCAGCTGTATGGTTATTCCTTGCGACTCCTAAATGGGCACGTGATTACATACCATCTGTTTCAACAATGGCACGACGTTTCAAAAACAGTTTAGGAGCGGTGAATAAGGAGCTAGTAAAAATTGTTAAGAAGAAGCAAGAAGAATTTGCTATTAATAATGGTCAGGCCAAAGAAGTAAAGATGGATTTTTTGACAATGATGATTACTGAAGAAAAGGATAAATTGGTACTTAGTGAAGATGATATTCGAGAGAATTTGTTGCATGCTTTAGCAGGCGGAGTAAATACCGTAAGTTATTATGCGAAAGCGAAACTTCAAATGTTATATAGCATCATAAATTTTTAATTTTATTATTATATATATAACACGTAGTTGGGAAATACATTATGCTTTATTGTTTATACGATCAGCAAAAATCCGAAAGTCAAGCATTTAGTAATGCAAGAAATAGATTTTGTATTCAAAGGAAAAGAAAATAAAGATGAGAACAATTTAACAAACACATGTGCTCATGTTTTCGATTACGAAGATTTGGAAAAACTAAAATATACCAAAGCGGTTATTAAAGAAGCTATGAGAATTTTACCAACCCTTCCATTAAATTTACGAATTGCCGGTGAAGATTGCCATATTGGGGAATATCAATTTAAGGTAATAAGCAGACGCATCACACCTTTTTTTTTCTTAGTCTAATCGCCCAATTTGACTTTTTCAAGAGAGATGTGACTCTGGATGGAGAGGTGTAATTTAAGAAGTAAAACGTGAATTCTTCTTTTTGATAATTAATTATAGGCGGGCACACAATTCATAATAAACCAGCAAGGAATACACTTTAATCCGAAGCACTGGAAAAATCCAACTAAATTCGATCCGTCAAGATTTTTTTCATACAATGCTGAAAAACGCATACAAACAAATTCTTTGTTAAACTTCGGTGATGGAACAAGAAGATGTCCCGGTAAACTGCTGGCAATGACAACACTAAAGTGTTTTTTGGCATTGTTTTATCAAAAATATGATTTTGTGATTGATGATAACAATGGTAATAATAACAATAATGGCGAATGGGAGTATGCTTTGATTAGAAGATGGAAAGGTGGGCTATCAGGAAATGTTAACTTGCAGAAGTGATGGAAAGTGATTGAATTACGCCGATGTAAAAAAAAAATTTCAGTGAAATCAGTTGTGCGTATAGTGCACAATGATCAAAAAAGTTAATGCACGCATGCTTTTTGTCAACATACTCATCTGATGTTGGACAAATGGTACACATAAATCTCCACCCTTACATTTTAAGAAACAGCATACGCACACATTTTATGCCGCGGAAAAATCGGTTCCTACCATATTAGTAACTATACGGAAAAAATAACGTTATTAGTCAGATTTAGTCGGTTTTTCTATTAGCACGAAATTTTTATCATGTTATATTTACTGAATATTTTGATTAAATACGTCATACTTTCCATTAATGTAAATAAAACATTACATATATATAAAGGCATCCTTTGTAGCCTTCTCTGATCTAAACAAGATGCCATCATCAACAGACTGGACAACAGTCATTATTCTCTTGATAATTACCTACATATGTTTCTATTATCTTCGCTTTCTAAATCGACAAACACGTCTTCGTGGTCCGATTCCATTACCCATAGTGGGAAATTTGCCTCAACTCATTTACTACCTCACAAAATACAAATTCAATCTTGACAAAGTAATTTGCGCACTTTCACACAAATATGGTGATTTCTTCGAACTCCATATCCCATTTCTTGTCTCTTCTGATCCGGTGGTTGTGATTGGAAATGCAGATCACACACGAAAAATATTTGCATCCTATTCAGCATCCGGAAATTATACGAAAAGAGTGGTATATCGACAAGGATTGGATGAACTTGGATTCTTGAAAAAAGGTGTTTTGTTCAATCAAGATATTCCGAATTGGCTTTTCAATAGAAAATTCTTCAAGCATGGTATTGTGGCGCAGAATGTTCTAAAAGAAAATATTAAAACGTGCATAACCTCTTTTGAAGAGTTGGAAAAAGCATGGATTGAAATAGGACCGAAACAAAACGAGGAAACTAAAATGAACGAGGAAACTAAAATGGTCGCTGAAGTGAATTTAGTTGACTGGTTATTGAGATGGTCTACTGAGATTATTTTCCAAGTATCAACGCGTCGAAGAGTGAATGCCATCTCTCGATATAAAGACTCCCTTTTATCTCGTCAAGTAGAACCCACGATCTTGGAAGAGAATGACAAACAACCAATACAGATTAACATTGACACTGAATCTTTTATTAAACACATTTGTGATTTTTTCCCGACACTTTGGTTATTTCTCACCACCCCCAAATGGGTACGAAAATATCTTCCACCTGTCGCTCGATTAGCAAAGGAATTAAAACGGAGCATGAATGAAATCAATATTGATCTTTTGAAAGTAATTCAAGAACGACGTACAGAGATCATTCATCATTCAAAATCAGAAACCGAACAGGAAAAAGAAAAAATGAGAGATTTTTTGACCATGATGATTACGATTAATACCCCTTGGGATATTACTAAAGAAACTAATATTGAAGATGAATTGCATGTCAATAAGCCGATGAGTGATGATATGATTCGAGAGAATTTATTGAATTCTTTGGCTCCCGGTGTCAATTCGGTAGTATCATTTAACGTTGATCGTGATCGTTCTTTCATTTTCTCACTGTCTATTTTTCCCTAAATACTATTAGATTACAAATGCACTTTGCTTCATCGTTCATTTCATCGCGCATTATCCTCAAGTAAAAGAACGTCTTCTTCAGGAAATAGATCAAGTATTCAAAGATGATCCTACAAGGGAATTCGAATATGACGATTTAGGAAAGCTTAATTATACCGAAGCAGTAATTAAAGAAGTCCAGAGAATTTTCCCTCTCGTGCCAGTAAATTTGAGAATTAATTCTGATGATGATATCGTTGAAGAAAATTATTTCAAAGTAAGTTAAAATTCGATTACTAACGCAAGAAAAACGATATTCTCTTTCTTAATTCAATCTATCTTTTCTTTAATTAGGGTGGAACCCAATTTATAATTTACCATGCAGGAATCCACATGAACCCTCGTCATTGGAAACACCCCGAGATATTTGAACCCGCCCGATTTCTTGCTCCTCCAAACAATATATCGCTTGCCACATCATTAGAAGCGATTTCTCTGTCAGACGAGGTCTCGTCTAAGAATTCTTTTCTTTATTTTGGTGGAGGATCGCGTATGTGCCCGGGACGTGCCTTAGCAATCGATGAGCTGAAAACATTCTTGGCATTGTTTTATAGAAAATATGATGTCGAGTTGATAAATCCAAACACAAAGATTGATTGGAATCACATGTTCATTAGAACATGGAAAGGAAAGTTCAATTGTAGAATTATAAAAAGGAATTAAGAAATTTGTGATTTTTATATGCAAAAAATATTTTGAAAAACAATAAAAAAAAGCGTAGATTTATTTGCTCGAAATATTTCGTAGTATGCAGAAATTTAATGAATAATCATCGATTTATAGTATTGATGTTTTACCAGAATTGAAAAAAGAAGAATTCAAGAACGGATAATGACTACGAAGCAGAAATTGCAATTTTAAACTTTCATATAATAACGGAATTCGATTGACTTTTTAATACATAGTGAACTCTTCGATAAACTCGCCACCCAATAGCATGGAGTCTCGCCTCTTAAAATAATGGCTTATTATGAATGTGATATGAGGCAAATAGAGCAGTAAGAACAAAGAATTCAAACTTTATAATATCAAAAAGGACGAGAGCATAAAGAAGCAATATTTAAAGATAAAAGTTTGTCGTTGGATCTTTTGCATATTCTATAATTAAGAGGTAGTAGTTTCGAAATGTATTTTAGCTTTCATATTTGGCTCCAAACAAATTGCAAATTACTATGGTGTTAAAAATTTATTTCTGTAATAACGTGCATTTTGATATTATTTAATTTTTAATAGTTAGCTCTTTTAATGGAATTTTTTCCGTGTTCTTGAAAACTGAAAAATACGCGGTTACATAAATAAGAAATAAAAATATCAGTTCTCAGTTTCGCGTGCGATGAAAAAATAGAAATTCCATTTTTCCTAAATTACACAATTAAAATTGAGATGCCATAGCTTTCTTGGATTCTAAAGGGTACCATCGGAATTTATAATTTTTCCTTGTTGGAATTCGATGCATACTCGTACTGCTTGAATTCTTTAATAATTATTATTATTACATGCTGAAGTATATAATCATACTATTATTTATTTATATATACTACAGTGTAGTCTTATCCTACGTGTACAACTATCTAGAATACTTTATTATTTACAGTATTACCGGTATTATTTTAACTACAACAAGATCAAATAAAAATCACCAATAACCATAATTTCTTTAACCTAGTGTATATCGGATCTACGAAAATGATTTACCTTACATTCATGATCGTGATCTGCTACACATGAGAATGTATTTTTAAGTTGATGCCAACCAAAGTAGAACTAATTAAAAAGAATTCTTTATTTATTACTTGCATTTTATTATTGTTATGGTCATCTACTGTTCTTCCTCCAATACGCCACTCGGGTAAATAGACGAATACAAAATTATATTCGATACCATATGTAATTTTTTTTTACAATGTGATAAATTTTTAATCAAATAAAGAGTAGAGCTTTGTATTATGCTTAAATATCGAAAACGCCGAAAAAAAAGCATGCACATGTTATGATACACCATGCAATGATCATACTGTTTCGAAGAGAATTAATTTTTTACTTGGCGACAATGTGTTTTGTCACCAATTGCCAAAAGCAGCCAGTGGTATACAAAATAGAACTTTTAAACATTTTCTTGTAACACATTCACGCACTCTTCTAGTTTGCTTTCATTTGGTAATTATTCACAACTACATGTATTCGGTCTAATTTTCTATTGGCAGTTTGTAAGGTTCTAGAATGACACTATGATATTTCCTATGTATGACTGAATTATAAAATTGTCCATACTGTTGCTATTCTTATTATTGTTATTGTTATTCACTTCCAAAACAGAAACGCATCCGATTTACACTTTCTGTACACAAACTTTATTTTAGTTGTCTAGGTCAAATCAAAAATATTATGTTAAACTCAATCTGTTCTTAATGAAAGACACTTCGAAATTATTATGAGGACAAACTAAATAAACATCTTTTTATAAAATACACAAGTTAAATTTAAATTGTTGTCTAATAAACAAATAAGCCCAAGTAATAAATTATCTGGGAGTTATAAAATATAAACGTATAAGAAACTTTGAATTTTTTCTATTAATATTATTAAATTAAAATATTTATATAATAATTCATAACTAATTTTCTTTGAATTATACTATTATAACTAATAATAATTTTTTACAACATGTAACTATAATAAATATAATTATAAACAATTTTATTGAAATTTCAAATTGAATTCAAGATTAATAAATATCATATAATTTTATTAAATATTATATATAATATAAGATTAGTCAAAATAACTATTAATAATATTAATATTGTCTAAAAGACTTAAATTAATATATATAAATTTAGAATTATCAATATTATATTTATATATGATACTTGTATTTAATATAATAATATTAATGATTACTAAATTAATAAACTTTTATATTTGTTAACTTGGCTAGACAAATATAAAAATATAATTGAATTATATAATTATTATTAATAAATAAATCAAATTTAATTAATTTAAATTAAATATTCTAATATTAATTAAAAAATTAGAATATGAATTTTTGTTAAATTAATATTAAATGATTAATATCTTTTAAGCTTTTATAATAATTAATAAGAAAGTAAACAAATAAATTCAAAATATATTATTTAAATATAATTAATATAAAATTGTTTTTCTTGTTAAAAAATATAGAACTTAAAATAAACTTTATTTTATTATTATAAGTAAAAACTTGCATTAATTAATTTATAAAATGATTTCAAAAAATATTTTGCAAAATATTATAAAATCATATTTGTTAATATAAGATCTATGTACTCATTTTTATATTAATAAATCAAACTTGAAATTTGCTAAGCTTGAATTATTGATTGTTTCTTGATTGTTATTTTTGATATGAATGATATTTGATAATTTCAAAAAATTTGTCAAAACAACTGATGTAATATAAGTTCTAAAAGTAAATTTTTGAAAAAATCCTAGTTTTAATCAAATAAAAATATTCAATGATCAAAATTCGCATTTAAACTATTGCATAAAGGTGATATATAATTTCTTCTTTGATGGCCTTTGAAGGATAATATACTTTAAAAACTCAAAAAGAACAAGCAAATTTGAATACCGTCTTGTATTGGATCATTATCAATTTCCAATCGCATGTCAAATCGTTGGTTTACTATTTTGATTGACAATAAAAACTAGTTTAAAACATGATTCTTTCCAGAGAAAATTGTATTATCCAGATACAAGAATATTTATATAAATTTGGAATAACTTATTGATTGGTTCAAATAAATAATCTAAAATTCGTGACATCTCATATGTCATTTCTTTGTATGCATATTTTGAAACGTAATGAACATATACAAGTTGATTGACCATAGACATTCATTCAATCCATTGAAATTATAAGACAGGGAGATGGCGTAAATTGCAATAATACATGGAAGAGTCCGATAATCCTTGGGACCTATGATACTTTTTCCATTTATTGATTTGAACTGCCATCTTGATTTGTATTTCGATACACATTATTTGATGGTGCAACTTGCCAAACTAGAAACTGATCCGAGTGGCGCATTAAAATAAATCCCATTAACCGTCCATTTATGGATGTTAATTTTCTCCGTGAACTAATGATGTATTCGTTACCCTGTGTGCATGTACGTGTTTTTGTTTTTTACATACGTAATTAATTATGATATTACCATTATTATATGTCCTGTATCCAAAAATTTGCGTTACGACTGACTGTAAATATATTTTCGATAGATCAATAATGATAATTGAACGGATCTATTTTTGTTCTTAGAGATTTATATTATATTATTTACTTATAAAGCACAACAAATTAGAAGACAGATTCAATTTAAATAGCTTCTTTAATACATTGAGTATAGAACATTCTTCTGTATTTATTCTGTACCCCTGACCCTTCACCGGGGTACCGTGTAAAGAAGAAAGTGTAATTGAAAGAACACGTAACAATCACACTCCCACACTTTCAAATGCAGTTTACAATGACATCCAAGAATATGTAATAAGGGAAGTGCACTTTTATTATAAATTATAATAAAAGTGCACTTCCCTTATTACATATTCTTGGATGTCATTGTAAACTGCATTTGCTTTAAGGAGAATATGATCGTATTATTAATCAATGATGAATAGTAAATACATGTATATGAAGTTGATTCGGATTAAGATAATGCTAAAGCGGGCCCTCGATTAAAGTATATACATTTGGTTAGAAAATAAGCTACCTTTTTTTGCACGATTTTGAAGGTCAAAATTAATTAAGTTTACATATACTTCTTGCACCCGATTTTGGGCTGAAAAATAATGGTAACTTAATTCGGGAGTTACACCTATTATCTGAGGCATGCACAATTTAATTCATGACTTAAACATTTTCACGTGATTATACTAATAAATTTGAAATCATTAGAAAAAGGATAGTATTACTCCACGATAGAAAATTACATTTTTACTACACATATTATAATTAATTGAAATTATCATTTTTTTAATAAAAATTATTATTATGCAAAATTTTGGAAATTCAAAATTTTATTGATCAATGTAATGATAACTAATTTAAGTATTTAATATATATGAATAATAATATTGCTAATGAATTTAATAATAACAAACCAATTATTTTTGAAAAAAAATATATAAATTTTATTTAATAATATTAATATATTTAAAGTTTATACTAATATTTATTTATATAATTACAAAAAATATTTTTGAAAATAAATATTATTTAAATATTAAATTATATAAATAAATAATAATAAATAATAAATATTAAATATTAAAATTATATTAATTAATAAATAAGAATTTATCTAAAGTATATACAGTAACTCTCATGATGATGGAATCAGGGAATTGATTTTATTAATAAAACATAATAAAAATTGAAATTTTCTCTCTATATTAAACTTTATAATTTTATTAATATTTTTATATTAAAATAAAGTTCATAAGTTATAGTTTAACATATATTTTTTCAGATTTTTCTGAAAGAGTTTTTCTAATTGTAAGATTAATACAAAAATTTTTACTAATTAACTTTCATTTTTAATTAATAAAAATTTTTATATTGATTTTATAATTAGAACAATTTTTTCAGAAAAATTCTAAAAAATCTGAAAAAATATATATTAAATTATGACTTATGAACTTTATTTTGATATAAAAATATTAAAGTTTAATATATAAAAAAATTTCAATTTTTATTATATTTTATTAATAAAATTGATCTCTAATTTTATAATTATAAGAGCTATTATACTTTTAAAATAATAAAATTTTGAAATTTTATTACAAAATCTTGTAATTTATTTTAATAAAATTTTATTAGTAAATTAATTTTTAATTAATATATTATATTTTATCAGTTATAAGTATTGCTTATACTTAAATTATATTTTTTAAGAATACTTTTTTAAAGTGTCATCTATAAGTAGTAATATTTTAATAAAATATATTTGCTTCTTTATTACTAATTGAGAAAATATTACTTATAACTAGTAAAATATAATAATAATTAAAATTATTTAATTTAGTTTAAATAAATATAATTAGCAAATTTAACAAAATTATAAGCTAGATAATAAAATATTAATCTTTTTAAAATTTTTATACAATGACAATTATTTGTCTGAATTGTCATTTCCCATTTATTATTAAGTAAATGAAAGAATATATCGGTAACACACTTGTGTTATTTGACAATTTCAACCCCCTAAAACCTTATCGTTATTTCTTGCCCCAAACGATATTAAAACATAAATTCTCATTCCCTTGCCGTTTAACTAAACAAAGGAATTTAGTTAAACTCACGATTTCAACTTCAACTCTTCTAATAGCAAGTACAGATTTCTCTCGTTTTTATTATTATTATTTGCTTATGAAATCCGCTATTTATGTTTGACAAAGGGAATTCAATGATGATTTTAGGTCTAGATCCTGTTTATGGGTGTCGTGATTTTTAGTTTCCCTTGTGTACGTGTAAAATAATTTTTGTTTCCCTTTGCTTTTGTATCCAAGGATCAAAAATGATGTTCCCTAGTTCGCAATTCGGTTTGATATCGAAAAAAGTAAGACAAAGCATCGTGACATCGGGAATATGATACAGATTTCTTGTATTTTTTCCTGGAATTTTACTTTAGTGTTAGAATTTTCCTTTAGTGTTATTTCGTACGATATTTATTCGTGGGTGACTAGTTTATTGTTTAATCTGGTACTCTCCTTTAAATGCTCGTATCCCTCTTTAAATTGAATTAGATGTGCAATATTTAAAAGATAGCGCCACAGAATTTGATTTAGATGTAACCTAAATAATTTCGGGTATTCCGAAGGGCAGTATTTTTAATGGTGGCGTTTATATCTGTACAGAATTGAAGCGTACACATATTTCCCTAACATTAATTAGAGAGGGAACGAGTAAGGTTTCGCCGATCTTGAGGAATATTATAATTAGGTTTTTTTTAGTGATTATTGCGTAATCAGAATGACAAAGCTTTCCTGTTTTCCTATTATCATTAGTGTCCATATTTTGGAAGATCCATTGTGTTGATTTTTTTTTATTAAAAAAACAATTACACTAACCAAAATAAAGAATGATCACCGCTAACCTAAAATGAAAAGATGGAAAAATTTTAACGCTATTGCAGAAACAGGAAATAATATAAACACAAGAATGTTTCTCGTATCTTTAACATAAGAAAATCGTATGATCATTACAGAGGAACAACAAAAGACATAGTAACTAAAAAAAAAAAAAAGGAGAGTGGGATTAATATCATTTTAACAATTAAGATTTGATCTTCACAATAAAAAGCTTTGTCATTAAAGTTACGGTTTTCTCCATTGTATGCCTATCGGTCTATCTTATTATGAGGATGATGCATACATTAGATGTTTGTTGTAACAACAAGCAAATTAGCATATCGGTTATAGGGTAATTTTTTCAATATGTCTCGATATGGCTAGTAAATAAATTCATAATTTGCGAGATAAAGGCATATTATGTTCTATTGGTATTTCAAAAATAAGAAAAAGGTAATAAATTTTTAAAGCAAACATGTGCTTATATGTGTCGTGTAAGTGAGAAAAATCATCAAAAGGATGTCCTTAGTGTTAGGTAATTTATTTTGACTTTATATTACGCGCATCACTCAAGAAATGCATGTATTGAATATCATCTCCTTTTACGTGCAGCAAATACATGTAATTGGCACATGTTGTCGTGGGATGTACACAAAAACTCAAAAACCAGTGTAAAAAATCAAGTTCGGGATTATGTTCTCAATTTAAAGAAAAAAAACCATATTTTCATGTAAGAGTCCCTGAGAATATAACTTTTATCTTCTCAAAATCTTTTTTATGTTCTCTGAGAACATTAAAACTTGACTCCTAACAATCTGGTGGCGCAGTTCCCTAACAAGTTCAGTTCCACCAATTATTATTTATTTAATCAATATAATTTGACTCTGGATATACGAATTTAAAATTGATAATTCATGCATGTAAATAGCTATTATGAATAATCCCTTCTGTTATGCGTACAAAATATATACGGATAATTCCGTCAGTTCGAGAGAAATTCTCTGCTTAGAGATTGCCTCCAAATGTGCATAAACACACACCAGAAATTCGTGTTACTTGTTGATAGATTATTATGTTAAATGTTTTGATTGACGAATTTTTTGTAAACAATTAAGTTTGTCATTGGTCATTGAAACTTCGTCATATTAATGCACATGTATTCATAGTTTGAAACCTTAATAAGCAAGAAAGACCAAATTTATTTATTCATGAACTTGTGTCCCAAAAATGATCAAAATTTACGACGTACATCGCCTTATTTTTTTTGTCTTGTAATCCAATAGGAAGACACTTTAATCAAAGGAAAAACGATACGTTGTTTTTGACTTTTCGATTATCAATCATTTGATGTTGATTAGCATGATAATAATTAATTAATTGATACATTCTATTTGTCATCTCCGGTAAATAATCCATCCCAAAGCGTAAATATCATTTTTCTATTTGTTGTGATCATAATTCGAGGCGCCAAAAGCGATGAATGTAATTCAAGACGATTTTCTATTGGCACTCGTTTACTCGGAAGCAACGCCGCTTTGGTAAAAAATTTATCCACGATTAGAAAAATTAGCATGAATGAGAACGAATCAACGAATATAAAAACAAAGAACCAAAATTTGTTGATCATACGGTGGGCGTATGTTGTTGTTATGCACGTATAAATACATTAGAATACGTAGATAGAATAATGATTATCAATATAAATGAAAATTTTTTTCGTCGAATTACATTGGATTTGCGAATGATTTTGTGCGACCTTACTCCTAACTCAAAGGAGAGAAAATCGTGAATTTAATTAAGTCATAATGCGATCATTGCTCCAAATTCAGATCAGATCGTTTTGACACCGTTACCAATGGAAAGCATCCGACGTCATGATTCTTTCATTCGTTCATTGGATTATCAGGAAAACGTGTATCTGTCTAAGAATGATAAATTAACTGTACATGTAATATGCACATGTGCATACTCAATTATCAACCATTTCGAGCACTGAGCGAGGGAGATAGATGCTTAACCGACGACAGCATCTCCCCTCCCAGAATAAAAAAAAAACACAGATAATCACACTAATGCAGAAAAAAGAATTAGATCTTCGCTACATGGCATGTGCGCGGAAAATCCTATCAGTCATAACGATAAACATGTACATCAAATGGGAAAATTGATCATCATCATCATCATCATCCATCATCTTGGAAACATCGAGTCCAATTGAATGTGCATGTCGTAGTTAAACGAGAAGTAAAATGCAAATAATTCTTCTGTTACTCAGTAAATAAATAAAAATATCTTCAATGTGTTCTACGTCTCCTTCAATTCTCCAAAAATAACCAACCAAGGAAACCGTCTTTCATAAATGATTTAAAAAAACCAGAAATTTGAATAAAAATAAAAATCAATTTATGAGGTCATTAATCAACACGTAAACCCCTGCCCGAGATAATTAAATATATTGTTGACATCTCTAGGTAAAAGTGTCGTTGGTCAATATATATACATATATATATATATATATATAAGGTTTACTCCCTATTGTAACTAAACTAAATTAAAAAAAAAAAAAAAAAAAAAGGAAAAGGGAAAGGGTAATACGCACTGACTTTTAAAATATTCGCCGAAACCTTTTGCATAGCGATCTCTTTATATTAATGCAGATGTTTAATAGACACCCAACACACCACTTATCCAAATATGGTTATACATGCGCAAAGGGAAAAAGGAAAGTGTAGATCTTAGAATAACTATTAATAACATATTGTTTGACAAAATATAAAGAAAGAAAATAAATAGACCCGAATGTAATTATGTTACGTATTTTGTTTATCGTTATTATTATGTACTTTGGTGTATTGATTTTGATCCACGTTGATCGACAATATTATATTGCTTCTATAGTATGAATATATAAATGCACAAAAGCGACATTGCATGTGTAGCGAATGATTGTATAAATATGACTTTAAATCCACTTTTTTTTTAGTTGTTTTGGAGTTAGTTTGCTAGTTAATTATACAATAAGAAACTACTCATCAAAAAAGACGAAAAAGAGTGAGAGTCTCTTTTTGTGTGCTCAACAAAAAAATATTTAAATCTTATATTACATAGAAAAATAAAATAAATAGAATAAAAAAAATCGATGTTTTATTTTCGTTAATAAGGAAAAAAAAAACATTAGAATTGTTATTATTATTATTATTATTATTATTATTATCCATCACCTTTTTCTCTTTCGTTTTAACCCTTATCAATTTTTTTTTAACAACCAAACATATTATATTATTCGTCCGCACTTTTTTTCACATTATTACGATTAATCTTTTAATTATATTTTGCAACATATCTAAGATTTCATCACATTATCATCATCAAACATCATATAATTACATATATTTACATCATAATCGACAAACCGACGATAACGTTCATCGATTCACGGCCAATAATCGTAATAAAATATATTAAGAAGAGTGATATCCAATATCCAAAACCTTTATACTACTCTCCACTTTTCACGAACAAAAAAATCACAGAATTTTTAAAATTATGCAAACAGTTTCGAGAATGATTACCTTACCACCGATAAAAGATTTATTGGACACACCTATTAGCGATGATATTGATGGTGAGTTGTTGGAAATCTTCCTTTTCCTTTGCGAAAGTTCATATAGCGGGGGTGGGTTGGTGGTGGTTGATGACGGTGGTTGGGTGGGTGGGTGAGTGGGTGGTTGGTGTTTCTTGTGCTTGATAGTGAGATGAAAGCGATGGTTGAAAATTTGGTCGAAAAATTGGGCTGGCCCCTTAATGAGTAATTTATGGGACAAAGACAAAGCTTAGTCTTTCATTTCGTGCATACAGAAAATGACGACATCAAAACTATGATGCACCATGTTGATGAAAGAGTGGCTCACACAAGCCACATGCCGGACACGCACTAGCCATTCACAAACACACACTCCCATTGGCACATTAAATATCCGTGAAGCTCTTGATTTCCGCGTGTCTGGATGCCTGTTTGCGCAACGAGGCACACTATTTGTTGGAAGAGAAAAGAAAAATTTGGCTAAAAGGAAGAAAAAAATATACACACGTACTATTATCATACAGAAAACAAACAAATCAAACTTGTTCGTTTCCCCATCCGAAATGATGGCTGCTGCTGTTATATTTTCGGTGATGATGTTTATCTCTGTTTACGACAAAACTACGTACAAACGTCCTGGATATCACACTCTCATTGCGCAATCCACAAATTTCTCTGATTATTAATCTATATATCACCAAATATATATATATTTTATATATATATGTATATATTATGTATATATATGTATTAATAATAATAGAGAATTTTCTCGTGTGTCCGTGTGTCTTTCCCCTATATGTGATGTGTACGTGTGTATTTTGCGCGTGTGTGACAATCTGACAATCGGGAAAAAAATGATTATGCAACTTTAAGCCCCAAAGAGATGAATGCTCAGCAAGCGATGATCGATGGGATTAAGGGTGGATACTAAATAAACATCATCGCCATCTTCTCCTTCGAGTAATCACTATCACACAAGTAAATAATGAAGATCAAGATTTTCACATATAATTAATCCTAATTTGTATAATCTTTTTTTCATCTCTAATCATAACAAATAATAGATTACCATTGCCCTCCAATCACCCCAATCAACGACTATATGAGTGTCCATTCCTCGACAAATCTCCCTTCTCTCTGTTGTTCCTCGTATTACTCCTCTGCTTGTTCCTCTCAATCAACTAGCCCCACTTCCACTTCTTCATCTCTTATCACTCCTCCAATTACTCCAATGTCGTCTAATCAGCATCAAGAATTAAATATTAATAATACTAATAGTACCAATAGTAAAAATAAAAATAGTACTACTAATACTATTATTACTACTACTACTACTACTACTGCTTCAACTAATAATAACAACAACAACAATAATAATTTGGTTAAAAAGGAAGATCCTTATTGTCGTTTACCATCCATTTCTGATAATTCAAATATTCAACAAATGTCATCGTCTTCCCCGTCCTCAAGTATTTTATTCAGTAATAATGCAGCAGCAGTAGCAACAACAATGAACATAAATGGAATTGAAAGATATAATAACAACAACAGTAATCTTCGTTCCATTATCTCACCGCCTTCATCGCCAAATTTAAATTCTGCTGCATCCACTTTTGATAATTATATTACACAAATTCCAGCACATCATCAGTTACAAGAGCAGCAACAGCAACGCTATAATGCTACGGCTCATCAACTACAATACAATCCTTATCCCGCGTTCACCTCGCCCGTGAAACCTGAACCAATTTACACAACAAACACCACTGCTATCAAACCAGAGCCGATTTATCCAATTAATGCAACAAGAACTCGATCACCACCAATTGTTATTCCTCAACCTCAACAAGGAAATTTAATCCATCCAATTGCTCATCATCCTGGAAATTATCAATACTCCAGACAACAACAATATTCTCTTCAACCGTTTGATCTTCAAAGATCGTCATCGAATTCTCCCTCCTCTTCATCTTCGTCCATTACCCTAAATAACAATAACAATAACAATAATAACAACCACAACAACAACCACAACAACAACAACAACAATAATATCTCACACTTCGATGTATCTTCATCTTCCGTTCAATTACAAAACAGTAATATTAGCCGTAATGCACCCGTTAAACGTAATCCGTCATCAAAATCAACAATGAATGAACAATCATTATTGTCCTCAACAATGAATAATGCTCCAACATCAACACCTCCAACATCAAATACAAATCGTTATCAATGTACATATTGCTAGAAAAGATTCTCACGCCCAAGTTCACTTCGTATTCACACGTATTCACATACTGGTGAGAAACCATTCGTATGTACTGAACCTGGATGTGGACGCAAATTCTCTGTTCAAAGCAACATGCGCCGTCATCTACGCGTACATCGACTGGGTCGACCGGTAAAGAAGGTTCGTTACGATGGTGAAGTTGAAGGAGTCAAAGTCATGAATCCTGGCTCACGGACATGCTAATACTTGGCTCTTCCGAGCAACGCACATCTCTTTATTCTCTTAATTCCCATCAAATATAATCCTGACGCATCATTCAAATTGTGTGGACGCGTTTCTTTTTATTTCTGTTACCCGAGAACATTAAAAGATTCATTCATCACACCGTGCGATTCTTTTTATCCATTCTTGGGTGGGAATTTCTATGGTATTATATATTGAACATATAATAATTAAAGAAATGTGATTTTATTTCATTCGTCATTCGGACAATTCTTTCCAACTCACCCATTGTAACTATCATTCGAAATTAATTGTATTTTTGGGGTTTCCCTTTTTCTTTTTTTTTTACACAAAAAAAAACATCCTCGTATAATCGTCACATCTTTTAATTACTTGCACATATTAATAGAATCTTAGATATTGTTTTCTTGGTAGTTTACACATTATAAATATTGGGAGAAATTCGAATATAGCATAGACGTTTTTTTATTCCCCATAAAATATAACGATCTGCTTCTTCCCTCTTCCATTTCTTTTATGTTATCGGTCAGCGTTTGTCGAATGACGCGTTGAAGATAGCATTATTGTTACATGAAAAAATTTTTTCTTATGTTTTATTTTTTTTTCCCAAAAAAAAGACCTTTTCTCTCTCTCCCTTTTTTCCTTCTGTTCTATGATATAATGTTTCTATATGGTTTATGTTCTTCTAATCATAATACGCAAAAAAAATAATATGTTCTGCGCCTTTCTTAATAATTAGTTACTTTTCGTTCTGTTCTAATTCGGTTCTGTTCTTTTTTCTTTGGTCCAGCATCAATCAATATACGTAAAAAAAATCATTTGCTTGGTAGTTTTTTTTTTCTTTTGACATTTTACACATCATCATCATCTTTCATCACAATTTGTAACGTATACGCACACACACACACACACGCATAATCTCATCTGTAAATAACAACATATAAAAAATTAAAAAATCGTTAATAGAAAAATTCTTGAGAATGTTTCAAATGTATATACATGTTTAATGAACTTGGTATAAATGGCAGGTTTGAACAAATGTAAAAGTGTCGAGTTTCTCGTGTTTAACGACGTTAATTTTGCGACTGCGATAGCTCTATCGCGTATCTAAGGTCACCTGATATGCATCTTACCAGTTAGAGTTACACTCGGTAGAAAAAAAGTCTGGAATCGGAAATGATTGATATACAATCATTTCCGATTCTAGACTTTTTTTCTACCGAGTGTAGGTTATGAAAGCACATAGAGAATCGCAAGGAATCTTTTTTGTTAAACAATATTTCGAGATACAAACTACGTGTATTTTCAAAAAAAACTTTCGTAGAAAAAAATTGATAATCACATGAAGTTGGAATTTTCGCAATGTTCCACAATCATTTTTCCAATACGGAATTAGATTCGTTGTGTAAGTTCGAGAGACAGAAAAGTTTTTTGGATGACACAAATAAATGATAAAAACAAATATTGAATTCTTGAGTAACGAATATTGTTCTCATCTTTTTAAAATAGATTTTATCTAGAATTTCTTTGTCGCCGAGTTCATATGCAATAAGCGCAAATATTTCAGTTAATGGTAAATTAATTCTCTTTTGCGATTGATGTATTGTGTTGAAAGGAAGGATCGGGGAAATTTTTAATGTCCTGTTTGCAGGTACTTGAAATTTTGTTTCAATCGGGAAAATAATATCTCAAATCTTTTTGTTTCTCCTTTGCCACCACTCAAAATTTTTTTTCAATTGTGGGTGGCTTATACAATTATTACGCCATTTAGTATCGATATATAGATATATTTGCAAAAGAAAAGTTCACAATAGTTTTAGTAAAACGCCATGTGAAGAATGTCATTAATTTGCAACTATACAAAAAGAGATTTTATCGCAAAAAGGAAAACTTGGCAAAATCAGTTGTTTAAAGAAAATTCCCCGACACAACAGTCTTTAGCCTAGATTTCTAGTTCACACGAGAAGTAAACTTATCTGTGTAAAATCTATAAGACCCCATTTAATTTAACTTACTGAATTTCGCTGATACCTAATTTGATTTCTGTTAATCTTGAATTGATTGTTCACATAATCTAAGAGAAGAAAATTAATTATTCCGAGTTTTCCTTAAAACATCAGGTCAGGAACCTGATTTCAACGTTTTAACCTTTTAGATCGCTTTAAAGTGAAGGGTTCTGCACTCGGTGGACAAAAGTTTACAATCAGCAATGATCTACATTCGTAGATCACGAAAATTTGTAATTTCAACCCTTCGTTACTCGATTTTTTATAAATTACATTAAAATATATATTATTTTATTCAGTAAAAACAGGGCTATCTACACATATATTTTAATATCGGGTTGGATATCCCTTTGCTTCGATTACAGCTTGTACTCTTCGTGGTATACTTTCAACTAAATTATTAAGAACTTCAGGTTCAATATTTTCCCATTTTTCTACGAGAGCATCCATTAAATCCACTTTGTTTTTGGATATATTTTGTTGTCCACGAATCCGTCTTTTCAAAACATCTCACAATTGGGTTTAGATCAGGACTTTGTGCAGATCATGAAAGTGAAGATATTAAATTTTCTTCTTTCCATTCATTTACTTTATTTTGTGAACTTTGACATTATCATCTTGAAAAAGATATATTGAATTAGCTGGCAAGTTTTAAAAATGATTCAAGATTTTCTTTAAGCACTTTTAAATATTTTAAACCAGTCATTGTATTCTCAACTTAAACTGATGATTCTAGAGCATTTTGAATAAAGCATCACCATATTATTATTCTATCTTTGCTTTTTACAGTTGGAATAAGACAATCTATATTATATTTTTCATATGAATGATATCAAATTCATCACTTAGAACAATTATTAAATATTAAATATCTTGATTTATTACTTCAAATAATTAATTTTCATTTAATATTCCAATCTTTTCTTTTCAAACATTACTTTAATCATTTTTCTCAGATATTAAAGATTTTAATCAAAATAATCATGTTCATAAAGAGTATGATATATAGTTTTGAAACTAATAAAAATATTTATTAATAATTTTAACTAAATGACAAATAGTTCAAGTAATTATTTTTTTATCTATCTTTCTGAAAAGCTATAATAATTTAAAATTATCATTTTAAATTTATATTAATCATTATCTGATTGTAAATTTATATTCATCAAGTATAATTATATATAAGTAACAAAAATTCTATTTCTTATATTATTTCTATAATGAATATATTAATTAAAAAAACAAAAATTAACATTATAATATATAATTATTTCTTGTTTAAAATAAAATTATAATAAAAACTTAATTATAATATATATATTATAATTAATTTTTATTTACTTATAAATTATTAGAATTTAATTAGTTAAAATATTAAATTAATCAAATAATTTTAAAGTTTTTAACTGATTAATTTTTGCTTTATTAAATAACAGAAAAATCTGATTATAAAATAACTTTTATAAGAATATGATAATGAATATAATTAATAAAAAATGATTTTTATATTATAATACTAAAATTAAAAATGTTCTTAATTAAGAAGTAGATTCAGAATTTAATTTATAAATATAATATACAATTACATCTCTCTAAGTGCATATATTATATAACTTCTCTCTAAATACATAGTATATTTGTATTTTAGCTTATAAAAGCTCTATATATTTTTGATCTCTATAAGTGCACATCCTTTAAATGTACACTTTTTATTTTTTTTTACTATGATTCCAAGAGGAATACACTTAGGAAGGTGTAGCTATATATATTTTTTAATATTAAAGAATATAAAAAATAATATAATTTAATCAGTAATAACTCTTATAAACTTGAATTTAAGTTCAAAAAATTTTTAAAAATTTATTTTTTTAAAAATTTTAATAAGTTATTTTATATATTAATCTTAAGTAAGTTTATTGATTATAAGGAATTTTTAATAAAGTTTTGATAAAAAATTCAATAAATTTTCATTCTGAATATGATTAAAATTATTTTTTGCATGGCATTTTTGCAGAACTTTTTTATATATAAAATATATATATAAGTTTTTTAATCATTCTTCTAAATTAATTTTTTTAATCTAAAAATTTGATTTAAAAAAATAATACTAATATTCTTTAATAAATGATCTTAAATAATTTTTCTGTAGATATTAAAGTATATACAGTATATAAATTTTTATATTATTTGTGTATATCGAGAGATTATCTTTTTTAAAATAAAAGAAATTTTAAAAAAGTTGATTTTGAATTATCTTTCTTATATCAGTAATTTCTATATGAGTCACTTTTAGTAGGCGGTCAGTAAAAACCAAGCAAATTATTTATAATTGATATATATAATTTGCTTGTTTTTACTGAGCTCGCTTTATTTGATATCATTTTCTGCTGTTATAAACAAAGGATTTGTATTTTTTAAATCAATTCAATTACTATCGAAGCATGTCACATAACGATATTTGTTAAATTGAGTTCGAATGCTAGATCTTTTAAAAATAATTTAAGATACGGTAAAATAAAATTTCACGTAAGTTTTAGTAAACTATAAATATTTCACGTGATTTCTTTGACTCATTGACGATTTGTGATTATCCGGCAGCGAAAAAAAGTGTTGGGTCATATATGTACATACGGAAAAGGTTATTAACGTCGAAGGTTGAGTTTAAGGTTAGAATTAGTATCGATGCTAAAATGAAAGCCAAGATAATAAACCTGCTTCCCCAACATCTAGTCAATTTTCGCATTTGGATTTGTTTTGCCGGGTTGATTAAAACTTGCGGTTAATACGGAATTTTTCGTACCAGCTCGGATGTTGACAAATTGTCAGGGGTCAAGAAAAATCGCATAAGGGAAGAATCAACTATGGGCGAGTTATAGTGTATGAAGTCTTTAACTGACCAATCGTTTCAAATTTTCAAATCTATCAACTCAATAATATAGAGGCAAAATTTTCAAAATTCCACCGTTCTTTGTAGTAATGTTCCATGTGAAATTTTGAAAATTTTGCCTCTGTATTATTGAGTTGATAGATTTTGAAAATTTGAAACGATTGGTCAGTTAAAGACTTCCCACAACATATTTGACAGAAACGTAGAGAATTATCTTCTTGATTTTTGGTATCTCTGTAAAAGAAATGGAAATTCAGGTAAACTCGTTAGATTGAGGTATAGTAAGATATTAGAAGGAATTCAAACGTCCTCGTAATCAAAGTAAAATCATAACAGTTGAATCGTGTTTTCTAGAATAATGTTCTTAATAATGAACAAAATCACATGAAAAGTATATCGATGTATACCATTCTAAGCATCACCTGTGTTTTTAGTGATTTCTAAATTTAGCATCTTTAAGTAAAAGCTATAATAAGCTGATTTGAAAAACCCCGTGTTTTTTTTTAAAAATTAACACCATTTTACTAAATATGGATGGTACAAGAATCACACTAAATTTAAAGAAAGTAAATTTGATTTTGAAACCGTTAAATCTTTCATAAAATATTCTTTTTGTTGCTATTTTAAATTATGAAATTTTGACAATATGGATGGTACAAGAATTAGCTAAATTTAATGATTTTGAATAAAAAATAAACCGTTAAAATATTCTTTTTGTTGCTATTTAAATTGTAGTGCACCATTCTGTTATGTTTTGCGAAATTGATTGAATTATCATGATTACAGTCAGGCTCGATTTAACGATTGCGTGGTTTAACAGAAAACGTTGAATTATTAATCATTTCTCTTTGAATTACCATGATATCAACAATTTTCAACTGTGTTTTAACCATAGAACCACACCAATTAGAAATTTGTGTGTAACCGGTAGATCTATTTAACTCGTTCGCTCAAGTGTGAATGTACTTGTTCACGTAGCTTTGTTGATATCAAATGTTACACGTTAATTGTTTACTGCCCGAACACGCTATATGGAGTAATTTTTGCTTAAAGTGTTGCTACTCTTTTTGTCTTTTGGCAAAATTAAAATTAAATTAAATGATAATAAAAACACAGTAAAAGTCACGAAACAATTTACGAGGACGAGACGCAAGACTATTAAATAAGAAAGAGGACAACAGCTGCAATCGCATCTTTTTAATTATAATTAATATTCATAACATATCCCATTCATGCATAACTACATAACAATTTTTAAGCTATCGTTATCGTGATTAATGAATTTAAATATCGGATGTATAGAGTGAGCATCGCAAAGCTGTGTAGAAATTTATTTATTCAATTATTTTTTCTTTCATTCATCTTTCACTTCGGATACATCTACATATCCCGTTATCACGCAGTGCGAAATAGGATATTGTGGGTGTATATAGATATAGAACGAAGTGTTTTACTTTGGAATATAATACATACTTTACGAAATAATTTGGAAATTGATTTTTCCAATTTTAATTATTTCTTAATTTGTATATAGATTATTTTTTCATTCCCCCCCCCCAATCTTTACACCTTTACACAAAGAAGAAACAAAAAAAATATGTCATATTCAGGACAATTATCTCTCTTCCATATCAATCTTCCACCGGACACAGATTGCCTAAAAACACAATGTCTATGTGACTTTCGATTATCGATAGCAGATTGCGACTACGAACAACGACAAGAAGGTTATACTTTACTTTGGCGAAATTCATATATTCTTGTGGCAACTACGTGTTTTTTAGTGGGATTTGTGCAACTGATCGTTTTGGCATCTCGAATACGACGATTAAATCGACGAAAACAACCATGGAAGAGTCCTTTTATCAATGATAATATTCAACATAGTCCTGTTCATGATAAAAATAATAGTATTTCTAGGTCTACTAGGAGTGGCAGTGACAGTGTCATCAGTAGTAGTAATAGTAGTCATCATAAAACAGGAGGAGGACAAGAATTTCACGCGTTCTTTCTTCGGAAATCTCATAGTGTTGGAATGATACGACCAAAGCCTGTTGAGGTAAATTTTTTTTAGTAAATGTACAGATGTGATGATGCAAAGATTAATAATTTTTTTTGATTAATAATAATAGATGTTTTTATTATTGACAGCTTTGTTCAATATAAGTGAGTCATTTTGCATTCTTTTTTTTTTGCCAATTTAGTTTCAATAATCTTATTCGAATTTATTTGTTCTTAGTACGTGGTGTTGATTGTGTGTTGGTGATTACAAATGCTGCATCGAATCTTGCCGTAAAAGAAGGTATAATGTTTGTTCGATTTCAAGAGAGCTACATTTATATGGGAAAAAACTTAATAATAAAATTTAATTAAACTTGGAATCAAACGCGTAGTCATGTTCGAAATAGGATGGCAATTTGCATTTTGGGGAATTTTATGTTACCTGTAAGCAAAAAATTATACTTCACATCCTTATATTCGCATTATCTTTATCATTAAATCCCGATCTTGTAAACATAAATCAGAATCGGCGCATTATACACTATTCCACGCGCATTGAATTTAACGCGTGACACCATCACCACAAGTTATATCAAAGTATGGATGCCAACTCCATTTTTCATGGATCTATTCGCGCTGTTTCTCGTGGTAGGCCCAATCTCGACGCTGATACTTTTTTCGGTGCTATCGGGTTTGTCCGCGAATCAGGGTAATTTGGCCTCGGCGAACTTTTATCGTCGGGTGCATTATGGGTTCTGGTTTCTTTATTTGTTGGTTATGGCGACGGGATTGCTTTACTTTGGCGATCGCTTGGTGAAGTCCATTCAGTCGCGTATTCGTCATATGAAGCGAACTAGTATGTCGCATAATGAAAAAATTAATTTATTGAGGAAGGCAATGTCGAATGTTTGTATTGATAATAAGATTCTTGATTGTTTCGAGATCTCTGATTGATTCGTAATACTGATCACATTCTGCTTTATAGGTAAAAACAACCATGATTTATCTAGCGTCTATAGTATTATTCCTATCCCTAGCATCACTAGTATATGCAGCCTTCCGTGAACAAATACACAAACATGCAGCTTTGAATGTTTTCTTTGGTCTCGCCTGGACTCTAGTGTGTCCTATATCATTCGGTATCACAACAATTGCAATTATTTTTGGTGGTCCATCATTCACCCAGAATCTCTTCTCGTCTTCCTTGATACCGAGTAGTAGGAATAGTGTTGGATTGAGTACTTCGTTATCTTTTGATAACGAAATTAATCCTCCTAGCGAAATTAGTTCTCCTAGCATGTCGAAGTTCTCTACCGCTAGGACATCAATGTCAGGGGTTGATTTTGGTGGTGGCGTGAATTCATCGAACAGGTTTAGTTTAGCCTCTTCAACTGGCAGTATGTTCTCAATACCGTCACATAAGGAACCTAAACCAATTTTCGTGGCACAACATCGAAATCAATGGTCAATTTCATCTGCAGCTTCTAGTTTAATGAATAACACTTTTTATTTACCAATGCAATCCCCAACGCCACATCCTCTACTTAATCAAAAACCATTACCAAATCCTTCTGTGAGCTTAGCGGATAATAACCAAATACAGAAAGAATCAAATTCGCCGTCATCACCAACAATTAAAGAAAATGTCGTGAAATTCTCATTACCAGCTAAAGATGTCGTTAAGTCTGAACCAGCAAACAAATCAACAATAACAGTAGGAAAACACATAACAATATCATCCCCTCCTTCGAAACCACAACAATCACTGTTATGTAGAACAAAGTTGAATGAAGAATTGAATGAAACACTTTCGGCGCCATTGGATGATGATAATAATAAACGTAATAATAATAATGATGATGATGCTAATGATGATAAAGAAAATGATAATACCGAGAAGCCACCGACAATATTATCAGAATCAGAAACTGCTATCACCATCACCAAAACTACACCTGAAATCATTATTAGTAATAATGAGGATAGTACACCTACTATCATTATTAGTAATAATGATAGTAGTACACCCGAAATTATTAATAATGATAGTAATGATAGTAATAATACTAGTGATATTGATTTTGATGATGTAAGCATTGAGGATTTACCAATTCCCCCGCCAAGATCGATACCGATACCTGGAGATCCGGGCTTGTCAGTCTTGGGTGATAACGGTAACAATAAAAGGAGTAGCAGTAGAACTGTTTAAACAAGCTACGAGCTGATTATCTGATTCTGCACTTTTATCGAAAGAACAATCGATCATTTATTTGTCAATAATCTCTATCTCGTAATTTGTTTTAAACCTATAAATATAATGTGTATAAACAAAGAAAATTTAGCTTTCTGTATTATTATCATCATTACACTAATATTGTTAATATAATTTGTTTTCAACAATCTTTTATGACGGATTTATTATTATTCTTACAAGTAAAAAAAAAGAAATTTTTATCGACCCTAATACTTAAAACGATTATCGCATCTTATCAATAAGACATGGTTAAATAAAATAACGTAAAAATAGGAAAAAAAAATTATAACAAAACTAACTATATCACCTTTCAGATGATCACGCATAAAGGGTGGTAAATCTTTCTTGATAACTACATACTTTGATGATGATGCTTTCAATAAAATGAAAAAAAAATACAAGATACATCAAAAAAAACCCAATGCTTTTCACCATGATCCCATGATCAAAATAGCTCATCATAATCCACATGATCGTCTTCAACATTGACCCATATATCCGCGTGGCCAGGCGCGCCAACAAGCGACTCAACCAGCTGATCCAACAAATATTCTTTTCCGCTATCATCAATTGCCGTTCTAGTCACGAATCGTTTACCGTTTGGTGGTCCATCTGGGAACACGTGTTTCAAAAGGTCAGAAAAGGTCATGCCTTTAGTGACTACAAGATTTGATTTGTAAGGTGACTTTTTTTTCGTGTGAATGCTAACGCACATTTGAGACGGTGTTGGGGATGTGTATAACAACGGAGTTGGGGCAATGGCGAGTCTTTTGCGTGGTGGTTTACTGTTTGATGGATTAGGGTGAATTGGGGTGTTGGTTGGGGTGTGGATGATTGTTGAAGTTGAAGTCGAAGGTAGATTAGGTGATGGCGATGCCGAACCAATTGTCTGTCGAGATGCTATCCCATCTTGTGTGATCATGAGGTTGCTTCCGCCAAGTTCTGGTGATGGTTCATCTTCCAACCGCCAAAGCCCTTGATTTGCAATCGGCGAGTTATTATCTAAAATAGCAAATAAAATAAACATTATACTTGAGAAATTCTCTTAATAATATCTTTTTGATCGAAAGAAAATTATAATTCTCAAATATATAAAAATTCGCAATAGATCAAAGAAAAAAGGAAGAAAAAAAAGGAATCAATCTCGAGACCATCGTAAAATTCCAACAAGGGATCTACTAATTGGCAATGCACCATTTCTGGTTGCCAAATTAAAAAATTACGTAAATATAAGGGTGAGAAAAGGAAAAGACATAGATAAATAGAAGAGGTTTTAAACCAGTTTTGATTTTAATTTCTGTGATTTCAGTGATTTCTTTCTTAATTTCTGGACTCGCTACGATCAAGAAAATGTGTGTAATAAAAGATTATGACGTGGATGATAAGCTTCTTGAGACGAAAGAAAAAGATAAAAGCTGAGAAAAATTCGTAAAAAACCTGATCGCTTTAAAGTTACCGCCAAAGGCGAAGAAGCCAATTTTGAATCGGCTATTAAGATGTTAAAAAAGATTAAATTGTAAAATGAAAAAGGAAAGTATCGAAGAATGTAAGAATCAGATCATTCCATATTCTAAACCTCTAAATTCTTGAAAGGGCGGTCCTTTTTCAAAATATGGCGTTACTGAGCTATCTTGTTCTAAGTAATTAAAATCATAAAAAAAAGATTGGGAATTGATATATAGGCAAAGTTTAGACCGGATATTATACACCTTAGAAAAACAATTTGCTTGATTACACAAAATTAAATCATTCAATGTCTCATACGATGAGGTGATGATGAACGAAATTACCAGGCAATTGTCATGATATATGATATAGGGATAGGAAATTGGTGATAGGGAGATGACACCATATACATTAATTACAGAATCGTAGCGAGACGCCAAAGACAAAAAACCGAAAAATGAAGCCAAATTAATTATTTTCAAAACCAGGATCGACTTGAAATCAAACCAGATTAAATCGAGTGTTGGGTCGGTCAAAGACTTTGCCATACACTCACAAGAACTCTTGAGTAAAGCGCAAAATGAATTCTGGTATTGAATTCAAGTCGAACGGAAAGAACAACAAATTGCTTTTGATCGTCGCCTATGAGCGAAAGTTTGTCTTGTGATCGTAGAGAGTGACGTATGTGTATTACATTACCTAGAAATTCATCCATTAAGGCTAGAATGCCGCTACCAGCTTGCATTTCTTTGTGTTCATTTGGCGAGTTTGCGTTATGTTGTTTTGTGAGCTAATTTTTTATATGTGAAGTAACCGTCAATAAATTCGAGACCCCAAAGTACCATCCGATACATCCGGCTTTGTTTTTATCGACACAGAAACAAGGGTTTCAAACCCACCCATAAAATAAAAGAAAAAATTACCCTATAATCCCGCAATAAATTTTTCCATTTTACGTGGCACTGATGGAAGGTAAAAAAGTGACCTTTAGAATTCAAATAAGCGGCAACTTTTTCCCAAATGGGTTTTGTCCGTTTATTTGCGCGAAACTCTTGATCAGTTTGTCTTCGCGCTTCAATTAAACATTTGGTTGCTTCGTCTTCCCAAACAATACGTTGTGGTGTCGCCGACATTTTATCTTATATAGGAATGTATGTTATATAATAATAGTGAGCTACTAAGACGTAACACATAGGGAGGAGGGTTGGACTGGATTTGGGATTTGAGAAACGAGAGAAATGTGTATACAGTAGACAGGCTTGTTAACTACGATAATAATAGTTAATGTGGAAAACGCACCCACTTTTCGTCACTTTAAAGAAAACCCAAAGTACAAGCAAAGAAAGAGAAGCCAAATCCGGACTGTTCCTCACATCAATCCGAATCCGAGACTGAGAATATAAACAATACGGCAAAATGCTCTTTTTAATGAGATCAATATGTGGATTGACGTCATTTTATTGGTCATCAAAGGCATTAACCAGCTATTTAAATTTGCATCATGAGCATATTATCCTCATATGAATTTGAAGGGGGAATCGCACTTTTGAAATCCCCCTGGTTGTGAAATCGCACTTTTAAAATCCCCTGGTTGTGAATTCGTAACGTTGTTCCCAATACTTCGTCGATCCATCCCTCCCGTATCAATCTTGCTTTTTTGTTTCTTTCTGTGAGGAACTTTCTTAATGTGAGTTATATAAGCAGTTAGAATAGTTTCAATAGAATATGCGTTTGAAGATTCAATAGTTATTCCTATTTCCTCTTGTTATTTCGGCATTTCGCGTCGCATAACTTTATCCTGACAGGTCTTTTAAGTATATGGTTACATCTCTAATGCTAAGCGGAACATTTATTGTCAAATAACATAACCATAGCTTGAACAAAATGAAGCGAGGGTAGCTCCCATGACCGTTATGGGAATTATTTGCTTTTTCACGCTTGAACACGTTTTACGACCTCGATTTGACATATCAATGTACTGTTCGGAAGGTGAATGATTGGAGATTTGAGAAATTAAAGTACAAGAGACATGATGTAAAGGCTCTTTATATAGGTCATTCCGAAAAACGCCTTCCACTTCTTAAACAACGAGAGAATTCCCTTGTAGGAGAGCCGCAACGGAGGTAAATAACGCGTTTTACTACGATGAGGAGTAAGAAACGAATGAAAACCTTTACATGAGATTATGTCTTATTCCAAAACTCTTGATATCATGATGGGTCTAGGCTGGGCACATTTTTGGGGAAACTATTCAACATAAGATTTTAGACTTTGAGATTCTTTACTCTGCAATCGGAAAGGCGAAATCAATCTGCAAGAATTAGAGATTTCATATTCTTTAGATGTAATTGTGAAGATTCCTCACTATGATTCTGTCAGGTCCATTATTTGCGGTGATGACATGTGAAAAACTTCTCTAACCAGTTGACGAAAACGTTGATTAAGCGGAATTTGATGCACTCTCGTGTCTCAAGCTGAACTAGTTAAACAAATCGGATATCTTGTTTAATAATCAACAAATCAGTTGACTATGGAAGAATATAAAAAGGTTTACAACGTCATTCCAAGAATTAAGTGCCATCAAGCAAATGACAGAAAGAAAAAAAATTGATACCATCTTTTTTATTCATTTATTTATTTATTAGACTCCGCTTAAAAATTATTAAATTATAATTAATTAGGTCCTTGATCTAGAAAGGCTTTTGTAATGATAATCTGATTGATTTGATTTGATTTAGGTTTAAGGCTTTGCTATAAAAAGCATCGTTTCGGAAAATCATAGTTCTCTCATAAATTCCTAACAACCAATAACGATAATCTCCTGTAACAAAAATAGGGGATTCGGAGTATGAAATTATCCAAAATTATTTCAAATGGGCAAACTATCTTCAGATCATGTGCTTCTTTTCACGATCGATGTATAACGAAAAATAAACTACGTTATATATAAGCCTAATCTAATCTTAATCGAAATACTATTTCATATCTTGCGATTTGATTGGTCTACCTTTAAAAGTCGCGTGAAAATGATCACGTGACCTGACAAATGTAGAGTGTGATCGAGAAGAGAAATGATTATGTTTATTGTTAATTCCGTATAATGCCTTATCACTTTTAATTCCAACTAAACCCAGCACTTTTAGCTCCGAAAACATGTCTAATCTTCCAACCACAATTTAACAGGTCTCACCAATCCAAGCATTAGGTTTTCTGAAAAATCTTTTACTAATCATTATAATTTCTGAGAGGCAAATATGAACCCAATTACAACATGCGAATTCAACGAGGGACACGAAAATGCTCAACGAGAAGAAATAAACATACCAGATTTACTTGGGTTGAATACCCCGCATATAATAATTATCGGGTAAATCAACGAATTGTTCTTTTATTTGAAGAATCACATGTCATTGTCAATGTCGCCATCAAAATGGCCTCCACATTAGGATGAGATTATTATTTGCATCAATTGTAAACCTTTCTGATTGAAGACTTTGTTGGAGTCATCAACATTGTCTCTATGTCGTTACCATTACATCATCAGGTCCCTCTGAAAATAAAGATTCTCCAAATCCCACGTGGTATTTCGGTAAATAGGAGTTTCTTTCTTTTTTTAAATGTTTGATCCTATTTCCAAATTTTTGACATATTAATAAAAAATCTAGTTGGTTATGTAATTCAGAACACATCTGATCAGAAATGCTCCTCAGGATTTGTATTTTTTCATCATAGCCAATGGAGCGCCATACCATTTTGTTTAACCTTCCCACCATACTTCTTGAAGCGACTCAGGGCGATATCTATTCTCATTCGGAAATCTCAAGTATAGCACGGGTATTGCCCTGGTCGCTTTAAAAAGGATGGAATTACTTCAAGAAGCACAGGTTGTCGCCCTGCGTCGCTTCAAAAAGTAAAATATAATGTGTGGATCCCATTGACTATGATGAAACTGTTTCTAGCTTTGAAAAGCAATGCGCACTTCTCAAAAAATACTACTTAAATTGAAAAATTTGGCCCAGATTTATCACAGAAGAATAGTCAAGTGGTCGTAATGGTAGAACTCAAGACAACGTTTGATTAGAATTGCGCTTTAAGTAAAGACATACCACCTTTGTCTTTATAAATGAAACTTTAACGAGTTCATAAACCGTTTATGCCCATCCAGGCCTTTCCATTCGTTAGAAAATGAAGAGATTATTATTGTATTATGATGAACAAGAATTCGTAAAAACGAGCATAACGAGCATTCTTCTGGACGTCTCTTTTTCTTAATATATGAGCATAGGGTTGAACCAATTTTTATCAGCCGAAAAGACAACTGAATTATAAGCTGATTTGTTTTAGTACTTACCAACCTAGCCTTTGTAATTCATTGTAATAATTTTTAAAATGTTAATAGAAATGTGTTAAAATGTGCAGAAACGTAGGGACGCACTAAACGCGTAGATTATAATCTATTTCCCTGCATCTCCTGATCTAAAAAAAAATTGTCATTCAATAATAAATTTAACCCTTTATCGTCATCAGTTATCTGCAAATTTTGAAAATGACTAATCGTGATATTATCGATCCTGATCAATTAATATATTCTGAAGACCCGCATCATCCGGCGAACCTTATTCCAGAATTATGTGGGTTGTTTTATACTTTAGGTTGGGTCACTGGAACTGGGTAAGAATGAGCATCTTTTTATTTTTATTCTTTGACAATCAATGTATTTTGTAGACGATCATTGACCTTTTAAAATTCTTGATGTGTGGATAATACCCAATGTGATTAGTGGAGGGATAACTATAAGGAGAGGGTAGGTGACTTTTAAAGAAGATCGTTTTAGAGCATGATAGAGAATGAAATGTGAATCTAATCAGTTATATTTTTAGTGATAATGTATATATTGCTCCATCAGGTAATTCAGGAATTTTCCTCAAAGCAGAATTATATTTCTTATCGTCTTTCATACTTTTCTAACAAGGCGTACAAAAAGAACGAATCCAACCACGGGATCTATTCATTCTTTCTTTAAAAACAAAAATTCCTCTCCGCACTCCCAAACTTTTAAAACCCTCCGCGTGTACACCACTATTCTACAATGCATACACAATGCGTAATGCCGGCGCATGTATTCACACGCACTCTCAAAACGCTGTATTAGCTACATTAATGTATCCTGGAGACACTTTTGAAATTACGCATCAGGAAATGATTAAAGGAATTAGAAGAGGTAGTACAAAAGAGAATTTAAGATATTTTGATACGTGTGTCGTGCCAATTGTGGAAAATACACCTGAGGAGGAGGATTTGACTGAGAGAATGGCAAAGGTAAATAAATATGAACATGACTAAGTGTTTTCTATTTTTACAATCTTTTCATCTTTTTTGGTTGTATTAGGCGATGGATAAGCATCCGGAGACTAATGCTGTTCTGGTGCGAAGACATGGTGTATATGTATGGGGAGGTAGCGTGGTTATCTTCTTATTTAACGCATATACATTCAAATAATTAAAAATTAATTTTTGGATTAAATAATTTCGTAGAAAGTTGGGAAAAAGCAAAGACGATGACTGAATGTTATGATTATTTGTTCGAGATCTCGATTAAAATGAAACAATTGGGATTGGATCCAACTGCGAAACCTATTGATAACGAGAATTTATAGATTATTTTTTATATAGTTAATTAATCAATCTGGTGAAGTATATAAATACTCCAAATAATCCATTACCCACCTACAATCTCTCTATTTGACCTCCCTCGTAGAAAAGAAAAACTTTCTTCTTAAAGATGAGGTGTAACAGACATGTTTTTGACTTAGGTCTTCACCGCAGTAACCATGAATGCGAACCATCATATGATTGGCTAATTTTTTTAACAGCATCCGAGTCAACGTTTCACAAACTCGGTAGCGTTAACACCATTTATGCAGAAATTTAGAAGCGTTGGTACATCAGTCATCAGTTATGAAAACGTAATAAATAAGAATCGATTCAAGAAACCTAAATGCATGTGAAAAACGAGGCGATATATGAGAACAGATATTTGATATGAAATTGTTCCAGGAATAAATAAAAAGACGTTCACATAATAATAATACCTATAATGAAGATAGCAACACAATGGTAATAGTGATGTCTTCAAGAAAATATTTATGAATACATATGCGTATCCTTCTTCAAAAAAAATATTAAAATGGATTTGATAATAGGTAAGAAGTATATTAATAAATAAATAAATTTAATATAAGTGAATCTTGATATAATAGACATCCGTACTATTAGTAAAAATTTACTAATAAATTTACTATCGAGGAGATTTAATATAGACTGTTTTTGAGCTCAACTTTATTATAATGAGATTCGCACATATACTGAATTCATATTATTTTATCCACAGATGAGCGTTTCATAGATACGGCGCTTCAAGTTTGTGTTGTTTTGCAACAAAGCATTTTACTGTAACAAGATTTGTCGGAAACAATCTTGGCATGAGTTTATTTTAAGAAAGTGTCGGAGATTAAATGTGAAAACGAGCTTCGGCCCGTTACATCACTTATTTAGCAGCATCAAACTGGTCTACCAGCAATAGTAATGGCGATTCTGTGAACTCAATGAATCATATGTTATTTTGCCAAAAGAAATGAATACTTGAGATATTACAATCTCATTATAAATTCCCCCTGATGTACTGAGACCTTACATCATCAGACATTAATAAGAGCAACAGCAATACAACATTGAAAGGTGCCGAACGTTTGGCTTTCCATCAAATGTTTGACGAATACAAAATCAATAATACTTCAATATCTTCGATTCTTGGCTTTACCGAGTCATTTATTATCTATGAACTGCAATCAACGGTACATGCT